TGTGCCAGCAAACGTTTCCAACAGTTCCATTTCCCTCTGTGCCAGTGTGGGAACAGCTGGATGAACAACAAAGACCCTCCGCAGGTGCCTGGAGTCCCCTTCCCCCAAGCACGCCCCTGAGCCACGGGGTACTGTGCACCGTGAGGCTTACTTAAGAGGGACCGGGAGAGCGGGAGCAGAGCTAGCCTGTCCCCGAACAATGGTCACGAGGTCTGACCGGTGAGGTCTGAGCCAGGCTTAAAGGCTCCCGGGAGTCCTCCAGGTGGGCGGATGAAGGAAAGAGCGTGTGCTGCGGAGAGGGGCAGGGAGAGTCCACCCTAGGCCACAGAGGCTGCGACATTCCCAGTGAGCATGACTGTGGAACAATGCAACATTGAGGAGAGGGTCCAGGACAGAAACAAGAGGGAACTGGAGAAGGCGAGACTGGCCATGTCCCCTCACCATCCCCGGCAAAGGCCCAAGCCCTGTGAAGCACTTGGAATGAGACAACCAGCTGAGGACTCAGACTTTATCATTGTTCGATCATCCACACCCGGGAATCGCCCTACATCGCCCTTGCAGGGATCTGGAGCCCACCAGGGCTAACTGCTCTTTCAACGGAAATCTAAGACGCCCCAGTAGACCGGTCCGTGGGGCCTGAAGGCAGGAGCCAGTCTGAGATTTCAGAAGCCCCCTCCCCCATAGATCTGACCCGGCTTCAGTCCGCCCTGGGGTCACAGAGCTGGTGGAGGGCCCCCACCCGGCTCAGCTGCGCGGATATGTGTGGAGACGTGGGAGAGCAGCCCCCACACAGCTGCGTAAATGCCTCCGGGCTACGCGTGTCTGGCCGCAGAATGACTCCAGCACCAGCCAGCCTGCGTGGGACAGATCCACACGGCACGTGACAGAGCGAGTCCCCGATCTCGCACCGATGCTCCTGGCCAGGATGTGAACCCCAGTCCTTCCACCCCCCGCAGGAGGGAAGCCCATCCTCGCCGGCAGTGCCTACACACCCTGGCCAGTGGGGTGCCTCTTGGGAGGCGGAGGGCGCACCGAGCCAGGCCCTGGGGTGCCGTGGTTCCCAGGCTCGGAGCCTCAGATCAGCGTCTGCTCGCTCCTCCGTCGTGGGACCAGAACGGCCACTCGGTGGCAGCTGTGCACGGAAGGGGCCACACGGGGTAGCAGGTGCGCGGAAAATGGCCGGCCCGGCTCTTCCCAGGCTCCCCCGCCTCGCCCTACGGTCTTGGCTGTCTCATAACTTCTCTGGGCCTCGGCTTCCGAAACTGTAAATGGGAATAACAGTCCACGCCTGCTGATGTGACCATGGAGCCGTGCGGATAAAGGGAAATGAAGGACGTAAAAGGACCGACAAATTTAAAACATCAGACTAATACCTGGAGGTAACATCACAGCTTTTAGGATAAAAGAAATGTGTGATGAACTTAATGAGCTTAATTGCAGTATCAAGCAGAGCCAGGCTGGAGGCTGAGGCTGGAGGCTGAGGCTGAGGCTGAGGCTGAGGCTGAGACTGGAGGCTGAGGCTGGAAGCTGAGGCTGAGGCTGAGGCTGAGACTGAGACTGAGACTGGCTGAGGATGAGGCTGAAGCTAAGGCTGAGACTGGAGGCTGAGGATGAGACTGGAGGCTGAAGCTGAGGCTGAGGCTGAGACTGGAGGCTGAGGCTGGAGGCTGAGGCTGAGACTGAGGCTGAGGCTGAGGCTGAGACTGGAGGCTGAGGCTGAAGCTAAGGCTGAGACTGGAGGCTGAGGATGAGACTGGAGGCTGAAGCTGAGGCTGAGGCTGAGACTGGAGGCTGAGGCTGGAAGCTGAGGCTGAGGCTGAGGCTGAGACTGAGACTGAGACTGGCTGAGGATGAGGCTGAAGCTAAGGCTGAGACTGGAGGCTGAGGATGAGACTGGAGGCTGAAGCTGAGGCTGAGGCTGAGACTGGAGGCTGAGGCTGGAGGCTGAGGCTGAGACTGAGGCTGAGGCTGAGGCTGAGACTGGAGGCTGAGGCTGAAGCTAAGGCTGAGACTGGAGGCTGAGGATGAGACTGGAGGCTGAAGCTGAGGCTGAGGCTGAGACTGGAGGCTGAGGCTGGAAGCTGAGGCTGAGGCTGAGACTGAGACTGGAGGCTGAGGCTGGAAGCTGAGACTGAGGCTGAGGCTGAGACTGAGACTGGAGGCTGAGGCTGAGGCTGGAGGCTGAGGCTGAGGCTGAGGATGAGACTGGTGGAGGCTGAGGCTGGAGGCTGAGGCTGAGACTGAGGCTGAGACTGAGACTGGCTGAGGATGAGGCTGAGACTGAGGCTGAGACTGAGACTGGAGGCTGAGGCTGAGACTGGAGGCTGAGGCTGGAGGCTGAGGCTGAGACTGAGACTGAGACTGAGACTGGAGGCTGAGGCTGAGACTGAGACTGGCTGAGGCTGAGGCTGAGAGGCTGAGGCTGAGACTGAGGCTGACTGGAGGCTGAGACTGAGACTGGAGGCTGAGGCTGGAAGCTGAGGCTGAGGCTGAGGCTGAGACTGAGACTGGAGGCTGAGGCTGAGACTGGAGGCTGAGGCTGAGGCTGGAAGCTGAGGCTGAGGCTGAGACTGAGACTGGAGGCTGAGGCTGAGGCTGAGACTGGCTGAGGCTGAGGCTGAGGCTGGAAGCTGAGGCTGAGCCTGAGAGGCTGAGGCTGAGACTGAGGCTGACTGGAGGCTGAAACTGAGACTGGAGGCTGAGGCTGGAAGCTGAGGCTGAGGCTGAGACTGAGACTGGAGGCTGAGGCTGAGACTGGAGGCTGAGGCTGAGGCTGGAGGCTGAGGCTGAGGCTGAGACTGAGACTGGAGGCTGAGGCTGAGGCTGGAGGCTGAGGCTGAGGCTGGAGGCTGAGGCTGAGGCCAGCTAGAGCCCGTGGGCTGCCTGCACTTTTGCAGACACTTCTTGCCCACATGCCCAGCACAGAGCGTGAAAACCTGGGATCCCAGTAGCCCAGGCACATCCAGTGCGTGTCAGTCAGTGAAACTCTAACTCCTGTTCTTCAGAGAAAATGAGAAAAACGGACAGAAGAAAAGGGCAGTCCTCCGGTGGCCGAGCAGAGCCTCCAGCCAGCTCACGCTGCCTGAGGTGCCAGTCCGGCAAAACCACCCGAGGCTCCGTCGGCACTGCTCGGCTTCTGCTGGCCATGGGACACTGTGACCCCCACCCCGGGTGGGGAGAGAGGAGGGGGAACCCCTCAGGGAGCGGAAGGGCTCTTCTCTAAGGGCATGATGTCTCCTGGGGAGTCTATCAGGTCCACTTAAACAGGTACACGTAGGAGCCAGTTTCTGCACAGGACAGATCCCCGGAAGAACAGGGAGTTTCGCAGATGCTTAAGGAGAGGTCTGGAATTTGCCCAGGGCGACCCCCAGCATTCCGAGGCGGCTGGGCTGCTGGGATCTGTGCAGGACAGGGGGCATGCACACACACAAACACCCCACGTCCTACCACACCACACACACCACTTGTATATATCACACATGCACACACACTCATGGCCCGCTGGGGGTTTGTGGGCGCCGACAAGTGGCTCTGTCCCCAGGAAGGTCCACTCCACGAGGTGCAGCCCATGGCAGAGCTCTTGGGGGCCCGGCTGCCGCCAAAGGCCGGTGTATAGCTTGCTCATGGCTCAGCTCCCTAATCCAGAAATTTTTTCTTGTTTTTTTTTTTTTAAACGTGGAAGGAAACTTCCAGTGAATCATCTCATATGCTATTTGATTCATGTTTAATGTCTTTGGGAAGAAATAAAAACAGTAAGTCATTCTCAACACAAACAGCATCAGCCCGGCTAAAACGCTAGGCGCCCGAACGGGGATGCGCCATCTGCCCTTGGGGACCGTAGCAGCTGCGGTCCTAGCTTGTCATTAGGGAGCGTGTTTATAATCCAGAGGGCAGACAGCTCATAAAAGCTGCCCTTTGCCCTTTTTACTTTTAAATCACAACACCAGGAGCCATAGATTCCACAGGGAGAGCGGAGACCGATGCGCAAACTCGCGCACAGTGTCGATCCACACGCATTAACTGAGCTCGTACCTAGTGAAAAACAGCGCGCTAAGTGCTGGGGACACACAGAAGGACGGGAGGCTCTCGGACTGCTTCCAGTCCAGGCGGGGAAACAAGGCATGAATCCCTTCCTTCTTCTCTACACCAAGGGAGCTCCTCTGCTAGCCAGGCACCCAGCTCCAGGGCTGGTGGCATGAGGGGGAGCAAAGGAAGGCAGCGTTCCAGGAGGAACGGACGGACTAGCTTTCAGGCTGGGGCCCACGTCCTTTCCTAACTTTTTTCCCCAAGGACACAGAGCTGAGTTCCGTTCACCCAGAGAGCAGCTGGGAGTAAGCCTGTAACCAATTAGCACCATGCCTGAAACACGGGAAGATTGCAGTACTTGGCACTCGGTAAGAAGAAGGAAGTCAGGGAGGGAGGGAGGAAAGGTGGGGCTGACGACCCCCAGCTCCTCTGTAGGCCCAGCCTTTGCGCAGTGAACTTGACCCGGCCCCGCGGAGCCCCTCTTGCTGGTGCACCAGGTCTCTGAATTTCCCACCCGAGACTTTCCAACCGAGTCTTGAACTTCAGGGAAAGAGCCAGTCTCCTGGAGACCCTACGGGGTCCCAGATGCAGCCACCAGAGCAAACCTTCGTGCAGTATGCTCCTGGAGAGGACTTTTTAGCCACAAACCTGCACGTACGGTCTGATAGGTCCAAGAAGAGTCAAGGGGTCCACAGGACAGAAAACGTGAAATCCGGGCTGACCCGGAAATCTGGGCTTCGGCAAGTGAGAAGGATCAGTGCGGGCCACCCTGAGGGGCCTGCGTCATGGCAGGGAGGGTCTGCGTGGACGCAGACCTGGGAGGGGGCCCCGGCCCAGGCGCCAACAAGCAGCAAGATCTTGGGCTTGATCATTCATTCGTTCACTCGTTGGATGCGGAGGTTCCGTCTGTGTCCCACCCTTTCGGCGCCGAGCAAGGGCTGACTGGCAGTTAAAGCACCCTTCCTCCCCAACAGGACGCAGAAACCTACCCGGAGTGGAAGCTCACGGACGCTGAGGGCAGTGATTCCCTTGCCTGGGGCTGGCAGTCCTGATTCGGGCCAGGACAACAGCCCTTCCATGGATTCCCCAGCGGGTGAGAATGCCAAGCCGAGCTGTGCATGTCCATGGTGCGCGTGCATGTGTGTGTGTGTGCACCCGCGTGCCCCCCAGCAACCCTGTGCCCACGCTGCCCACAACGCTTGCCGTGCAGGATCTGCCCCTGTGGTTGAGGCCTGAAGGAGACGCCCACAGGAAGCGATATTGCAAAGTCATCCCAAGTCGCTAGTAAAAATAACCCTCAACTTACAACACAGGAAGGATTTCCCCTTTCCAACGCCCTGCCTCAAAACTGGCGCCGTTTCTACTTTGCAGACCACTTCAGAGCGGCCCATGGATGGCTCCCTGGGACCTGCAGATGAGCAACACTTCCGCGGGCTGCAAGCCCGGCAGCCAGAGGAGAGGTCAGTCCGGCATCATGCTCTCCTATCCACTTCTGCAAAACCCCAAATCTCCATGCCCCTGTTCACCTAACATCTCCTAGCAGAACTGTGGCTAGACAAATCTCTGTAAGCAACAATTATGAGATTTTTGAGGAGGGGGTCACTATTTAAAGGACTGAGGAGGTGCCTTGTATGGTTTGATTTGGGCAGCACTGAGATACCGCGATATCACCCATATTCCTCATCGGGTTAGCGTTGCAGGTGTCCTGTCCCCGTGTATGACCTACACCCCCTCCCATCCCACCTGCCTGGCCATCTATCCCTGCACCTGCCCATCCCCATGCAGTGACAGTGATCTTCTTGCTGCTCCTTAATGACTCGGGCGTACGTCTGCCACAAGCCCTTTGCACTGGCTGTTCCTCAGATATAAAATTGCTCCCTCCCCTCCTTCAGGTCTTTCCTCAACACGCTTCCCAGCGAGGCCTTCCCTAGTACTATATCCAAGCTGAAACCCCAACACAAATTCTTTATTCTCCTGTCCTCCTTGATTTTTTCTTTATATTTTATTGAGTTCATTGTCTCTCTCCCCCCAGAACTAGAATGCAAGGTCCCCGGGGCCAGGCTTTATTCTGGTTTGTTCTCTATTGGAAGCCCAGAGCCTAGACGCTTCCTGGCACAGAGTGTGTGATCAATAAGTATCCATTAAGTAAACAAACGCAGGGTTGCTGGGGGGAAGGCTGGAACCCATGGCCTCACACCCAGGTGCTTCTCCAGTACCTGGGAGCAAAGAGAAGGGGTCCTCCCATTTGCCATCACCTGACCTAGGACATCCACGGCTAAGGACACCGATGTACCAGAAGTACCATCTGAGTTCCTTATCTCTTGGTGGTAGTGGTGGGGGTGGGGGTTAGCAGGCATTTGCTGTGGGCACTGGAACCCTGGGCTGGGAAGAGACACTCCTCGGCCCCCTTTGGGCCCCTGTGCCTGCTCCAGCGTCCTGACATCTAGCTACGAGCCTCCGCAGGACCTGACCTGGCCACGAGCCTCCCCCAACCCCAACCCCGCCTCTAGTTGGGATGCGTGTACAGGTATACCTCGGTTTTATTGTGCTTTGCTTTCTTACACCTCGCAGATAATGCTTTTTTTTTCTAAAGATTTTATGTATTTATTTGTCAGAGAGAGAGAGAGCACAAGCGGGGGGGCAGCAGGCAGAGGGAGAAGGAGACTCCCCACTTGTGAGCAAGGAGCCCGATGTGGGACTCTGGGATCATGACCTGAGCCCAAGGCAGACGCTTAACTGACTGAGCCTCCCAGGTGTTCCATGGATAATGCATGGTTTACAAACTGAAGGTCTGTGGCAACTGTGTATCAAGTACGTCTATCAATGGCATTGCCCAAGAGCATTTGCTGACTTCGTGTCTCTGTGGCACATTTTGGTAATTCTTGCAATATTTCAAACAACTTCATTATGATTACATTTGTTACGGTGATTCTCTGATCGGGGATGATGAATCACCGAAAGCCCAGATGATGATTAGCATTTTTTAGCAATGAAGTATTTTTAAATGAAGGTACGTGCATTGTTTTTTTTTAGACATACTGCTATTTCACACTTAATAGACTACAGTATAGTATAAATATAACTTTTATATGCACTGGGAAACCAAAACATTCACTGACTCACTTCACTGGGACATTCGCCTATGGCTGTGGTCCGGAACGGAGGCTGCAGCGTCTCTGAGATGTGCCTGCACGCAGACAAGGTCCGGGTAATGCACAGCCCCATTTGCTCGTTTCCCAGCTCCCAAAGAGCTGGCGGAAGGAGATCGAACTAGTGAAAGCCACACTTTCCACGCTCATCTATCCCCTGAGGCAGAGGCAACCCCAGGAGCACTTTCACAAAGGTGAAGAGGAGAGATGAGAGAAGGAAGGACATCCAAGCAAGAGATGGGGGGACCCCCCATACCCAAGGGATGCAGGCTTCCTGCGGGGGCAGGGAGCAGGGAGACGTGCTGTGCTCTCTGGGGGCTCTGCTGGGAGTCTGTTGGTCTGACCTGCGGGCACACGCTCACATCTGCTGGGGGTACTCACGTGAAACCAGCAGCTTGGCCTCTGCCCTCCCCAGGCTTGCAGCCCCCTCAGCCTCCTCAGGCCCCTCAGACCCCTCAGACCCCCTCAGGGCTATAGTGCTGGGCACCCAGCAACCCTAGGGTGGTTTATTAAGGTGGAAATTAAGGCAGCTTTTGGGTGCAAATCGTAGCCTCACAGCTGAGCCTTAAAGGTGATTCCTTCTGGGTGGAAGGTGAGAATTACACGCTTGGAGGGCCTAGAAAAGTCCAGACTTTCTGCGAGGGCTCTGAGGCGGGCTCTCCGGGGCTGGGCCTGACCCTGCAGGGCTGAGCCCCCAGTGGCCCTTCCCTGATGCTGCCTCATCCCGCCGGGTGGCCGTCGGCCACAGACCCCACACCCCTGGCCTCGACGGGGGCTCACAGCACTGGGGTGGGCCGGGCAGAGCAGGGCAGGGCCGATAACTAATGACAGTCACTGTAACGATTACCAAGCCGGGCAGGGGGAGTAAGAGGAAGGGGGGCTGTAGGGCGGCTGAGGGTTCCCCACACCTCTACTCTTGTAACCACCCAAGAGGGAGGCGTGACTGACCCCCTCACAGATGAGGCGGGGAGGCTGTCAAGTGGGCCCAGCGGGACCCAGACTGCACAAACCCAAGGGCAGAGGCCTTTCTCCCACTCGCCACCTCCTTCCTCACTTGGGAACAGAACCGAACCCTGAGCTCAGCAGGAGCGACAGACAGCAAAACAGAGGCGGGCCGGTCCGGGGGGGCCCCCCAGCGGGGGGTTTGTTCAGTGCTCAGTCAGCACTTCCTGGTGGGGGAGCCACCTGGTGGCAAGAGAGCCCTAGGGAGTGCCTCTAGAGGACAGAGGACAGGCAATGGGCTCAGCCCCGGGTCAGGAAGGCTTTGAGAAAGGACGCCACCCCTGAGCTCAGCTGTATGGGATGGACAGGAGTGGGCCAAGAGAGGGGACAGTGGTCTACACAGAGGCGCCACTGAGCAAAGGCCTGGGGGCTGGGTGGCACTTTCGAACATTGCAGGCCTTCTGCTATCGCTAGAGCTTCCCCAGAACCCAAGCAGGCAGTGGTGAGAGGCGGGGCCGGGAGGGTGCTGGATTCAAACAGACCAAGGGCTGGTAGGTCATGTTAATTTCTGTGGACTTGACCCCTTCCCTGAGAGGAAAGCAGCCGGCTCCAGGTTTGGGGGCCAGGCCTGGTGAGGGCCTTGCCACGCTGGAGGGCAGGAGGGGCATGGGGCTGTGAGTGAGAAAGGGCGGTCAGTCTCTAGGGGAGGCAGGAAGGGCAGCAAAGCAGAGGGGCTGGGAGAAGTCCTAAGGAGCCAGAGAAAAGTCTGGGAGGACAGGGGTGGGGCCAGAGAAGAGGACTTTGAACCCAAGGTTTCCCAGGCCCCAGGGAGGCCTGGGGGAGAAGGGAGGTGGGGTGGGGAGGCTCAGCCCTGGGGCCCTGGGAAGGGAGCTCTTCCCCTCTGTGGGTAGGAGGTGGGCAGGGCCTGGGAGATAGAAGCTTTCAGGAATCCCAAGTCAAAGTACCCCAGGCCAAATGACCTACCAGAGAGACCTGGCCGGCTTCAGGCGGAACCGAGATGATCACGGGACCTGGGTGGGTTCTTTGCATCCCAGAGTCTCAGTTTCCCGACCACTTCATGGGTGTGCCAGGCAGGCTGTCCCCAACTCCTGATCTCTTCCCACTAAGCTGGGTGAAATCCTCACATGCCAGCCACAGGCAGGACCCCACAGAGTGGCAGAACCCCCACCCCACCCACAGGTCCTCCCCTGCTTCCAGGCCCCTCTGGCCTCCCAAAGTGACTTACCCAAGGCCAAGTGGAGGTGGAGACAGTCAGGACCAGAAGCTCTGGGGGCAGGTTCCACAACCTTGTCAGGGCTGCTAGACCATGCCCTGGGAGAGAGGAACAACAGGTCACTTAGGGTGCGTACAGCCCCGGCCCAGAGCCTACTGCCTTTCTGGTAGCTTCTGTGTGCGTACTGGGGGGACCACAGCTTTTGTGAGCCCCACACGGAGTACAAGAAAGCCCTGGCTCCTGGGCCCAGGCAAGCCACCGAGCATATGGACCTGCTGCCCCGGGAGGGAGGAAAGCCCGCCTCAGTACTGATGGGAGAGGTCTCCCGGGGAGACCCAGGCCTCCCCGTGGGTGAGGGCACCAGCTATCATATGCTGGAGCAAAAGGAACGCGGGCCGGTGGCCTCCGACCTCTTCAGTCCGCACACCCAGGGCTTGGGCATTGGCAGCATCACTTGAGTCACCGTGGTCTGTCCCAACGCTCTGACCCACAGGGTCACCATATAGGCCCCGGGATTGTGCACACCACAACCTGGCACAGGACGGACTCACAGGGGCTCCCGCAGCCAAGCTCCCACCCCTGCATGCAGAAACAGCCAGAAGGCATCACCAATCTCGAGCCCCACGGCTCACAGTCATACGGTCGGTCACTATGAGAAGTCCACACGTCGTGGGCATCCTGGGTGCCCCGATCACTCCCCCACCTCACCTTCAACCATCACACCACCAGCTTCGGGCACATTCCACACACCCTGCATGGCTGGCGGATGGCTGACCTCCTCCTTTACCCCTTTCTGTGAGCGGGCTGCACCCTGTATGTGGTGTGTAGTTGTAACGTTCTCAGGGTTACTGTCCCTAGGCTGCGGGGGCTGTGCTAAGAGCTTTCTGTGCGTTTATTCGCACTAGCCAATTCAATCCTCCATCAACCTTATGAGGTAGGCATAATGACTAACCCTGGTTTCCAGGTGGGGAAACTGAGGCTTAGAGAAGCTAACTACTCGCTCAAGGGCATGTGTCTTCCAAGTGGCAGAGCCAGAATGGAGCCCAGATCACACCCCGGGGTACCCGCCTTCCCCTCTGGCTGGCTCCTTCTCAACCCCCAGTCCCCTGTCATGCGTCTCTTCACCTGAGACCCCATTTTTCTTCCTAATCTAAACACACTTCCCAGCTATTTCCTCCTAACGCGGGTTATCTCCTGCAATGATCACGGTTTATACACACTCACTGGAGTGGTCCTGAGGACGGGAGCCAAGAAGCTCATTCACCCCAGAAAATACGGCCCCTGGACGGTGCAGGTGCTGGCGGGGCTCCCCTCGCACCTTGGCTCGAGGGACTGTATCTCCTCCAATTGACTCTGAGCTCGGGGAGGGCGGGGGGGGGGGGGGCCTGTCTCTGCTTCTGAGCAGCTGGGATGCAACGGCGCTCACTAAGTAATCAGTGGTGGACAATGAAGGCCCCAAAGGCATTGCATGGACGTTCCTGGAAGCAGAGTGCACTTGGCTCGGAGTGAAAAATTCCATCCCGTTTCACCAATATGGAACTTCTATGCCGATCACGTTATTTAAACTCACTGCTGGGATCTAAGACCTCGAAAGAAAAGCCGTACATCTTCCCACCAGAAATTCTCACTGGAAGGTCACTGAGCTTTTAGACAGCACTGTATACACACAAACACAAACACACAAACACACACGTGTCTATAGACACACATATATATGTATAAATGGATATTTAAGATTTTATGTATATATTTTTTCATTATATAATGTATTTTTAAAAAACAGACTTTTTTTTAAGATTTTATTTATTCATTTAAGAGAGAGAGAGCACATGTGCACAAGCAGGGGGACAGGCAGAGGGAGAAGGAGAAGCAGGCTCCCCGCTGAGCCAGGAGCCCGATGTGGGGCTCGATCCCAGGACCTGGAGATCGTGACCCGAGCCGAAGGCAGATGCCCAACCATCTGAGCCACCCAGGCGCCCCTAGACTTTATTCTGAGAGCAGTTTAATGCTTACAGCACACTTGAGCAGCCTTCCCCATGATCAACCAAAGACAGGCACATTTATTACAGTTGATGAACCTACATCGACACACATCATCACCCCAAATCCATAGTTTGCATTAAGGCTCACTCTTGGTGTACCTTCTGTGCGTCTGGACAAGTGTATGATGATGTATGTCCACCGTGACAGTATCATACAGAGAAGTTTTACTGCCCTAAAAGTCCTCTGCGCTCCCCTTGTCCCATATTTTTTAAAGGCACTTTAAGTCCATGATCTTAGCTGAGCCATCTTGCAGCTCCGGAAGCCCTGCTTTGACACTCAGGGAACTCAGGCCCAGATAGGGTCAAGGGCCCTCCCCAAGGTCGCCTTTGCAAAACCCAATAACAGAGCCAGCAGCAGAATGTGCTAGACCCATGTGTCCAGTGGTAATTTTATCATCCATCCTATCAGCCCATCCTAACCCCCAGTTTACCGAGGGGCAAACATACTTGGGGACACTTGCTATGGTCACACGTGGCTAAGTGGGATGCCAAAAAATGCAAATTCCTAAACCCATTCCTGCTCTCTCCATCAATTACAGGAGCTTCCAGGAGGCTGTGGGAATGCAGTGAGCAAGCAGCCCCTTGGGTCAGGGGGACTCTGACCCAGAGCAGGTGCTCCCCCAGCCCTCAGCCCTCTCAGGGAAACCTGCCCTCCAGGACCCACTCAGCCACCACACTGCATGATTCATGCCGCTGCAGCGAGCTTGGGTGAAGGTCAGTTGGCTGCCTGCTACAAAGGCCCTACCACTTCCAGCCTCCCGGGGGCAGCCCTCGACAATCAATGTGTTCAGTGACCAGCTCAGGGCCCTGAGTGCCAGGTGAGAACATATCCAGTCCACACAGACACCTTCCTCCACAGCTCTTCCTGTCCCACTGAGACACACACCAGCTCGTATGGGGCAAGTACTGGGTGGCAGGAGAGCAGACCGGGTGTGCCCCTGTCGCTAAGTGGCCCTGTGACTTGGGCACACCCTGTCATCTCTGTCATTCTCTTCCCCCATCCTTGACAAAGCCTGTGGGCTGCATCCCCTCAGAGACGGGGCCGGCTCTGCCATCAGGCTTCCTCACCGAAGGAGGGTCCATCATTCCAGAGGCCTTGGAGGCTCTGGCTCCCCAGCTGCTTGGGGATGCTCCATTAACTCAAATTGCACATTTCCTCCTGGCTCTATCGCTGAGCCACAGGGGCTCCCTGGCCACCAGCTTTCCTGTGACAGATAAAGATTACAGTCATTGCTCAAGACTGAATCAAGTAGCAGAAGTCATTATGCAGAAATAATTATGTTGAGTTATGTCTGGTGGCTCCTGATTTCTGTCTAGCAATTGTCTTGCAAATGGTCTGCCTTTTCCTCTCCAGAGGAGCTAACTGCGGAGGCCTGGTGATTCAAACAGACATAGGGGGCGCCACCCCACTGCTCCAACCCCTGCCAGTGGGGAGAGGGCATCAGCATCCTACGGGAAGGTTCTCTGTGAGGCTCTTTTGCTAAGCACTTGGGAGAGACAAAGACATGGAAGACAAAAGCCCCGGAAGGGCCTCACTCACAACTCAGCCACATGTACCCCTGTACTGGACCCTCCTTCAAAGCTTGCTTCACACATCACTTGCTCCATGGGGCCCTTCCTGACACTCCAACTTCCCCAGCCCCTTGCTCATGTCAGGCATAAGATACCTCTTTCTCTTAGGTTTGGGGTCTCTGGGGAGTGACTTGGGCAATGACCAGGTCTGACCTATTTTTGTACTAGCACAAAGCAGGGCCGCAGGAGAGCAGGGAGGACAGCAGAGAGGGCTGTGTGGCCAGGCTGCCTAGGCTCAAATCCTAGCTCTACTATTGCCTGGCTGTGTGGCCCTGACCCATTGTTCAACTTCTCTCTGCCTCAGTGTCTAGGTATGTAAAATGGAGACAATAACTGCCCTACCTAGATCATCAAGTTCTTGTAAAAACTAAATGAGCTAATGCACAAAAAGGTGCTTGGCACACAGGAAGAGCTCAATAAATGTCAACAATGACTGAAAGAGCAGAAAGAACATGCTTATAAGAATCTAAGACAGTAGAAAGGCACAAACTACCAAACCTTACTCAAGGAAAACAGACAATCTGAAATAAAGAAGGAGACGATCTGAAATGCCTATAACAAGGCAATACATAGAATTGGCAAGCAAAATATTACTCATACACAAAAAAGCCCACACCCAGATGGCTCCCCTGCTGAATTCTACAAACATCTAAAGAATCAATACCAATTTTCTTTTTCTTTTTTTTTTTTAAGATTTTATTTATTTATTTGAGAGAGAGAGAATGAGAGACAGAGAGCACGAGAGGGAAGAGGGCAGAGGGGGAAACAGACCCCCAGCTGAGCAGGGAGCCCGATGTGGGACTTGATCCCAGAACTCCAGGATCATGACCTGAGCCAAAGGCAGTCGCTTAACCGACTGAGCCACCCAGGCGCCCATAAGTTTGTAAGTGCATCTTTTTTTTTTTTTAAGATTTTATTTATTTGACAGAGAGAGAGAGGGAACACAAACAGGGGGAACAGCAGAGGGAGAGGGAGAAGCAGGCTTCTCGCCGAGCTGGGAGCCCGACGTGGGACTCGATCCCAGGACTCCAGGATCATGACCTGAGCCGAAGGCAGTCGCTTAACCGACTGAGCTGCCCAGGCGCCCAATACCAATTTTCATAAATTCTTCCCAAAAAAATAGAAGAGGAGGGAACACTTCCCAGCTTGTCCTATAAGGCCATTACCACCCGGATACCAAACCAGAGAGACTTCAGAGAGAGGATATAGACCAGTGTCATTATAATGGACATGGACGCAAAAACAAACAAACAAACAAATCAACAAAATACTAGCATACCAAATCCAGCAACGTAAAGAATAGAAAGAATTACACACCACGACCAAGTGGGATTTATCTCAGGAATGCAAGGTTGGTTTACCATCCAAAAATCCATTCATGTAGTATATCATATCAATAAAAATAAAAAGCAAAAATCACATGCTTATCTCAATTGATGCAGAAAAAGTACTCGACAAAATCCAACACTTTCATAATAAAAACACTAAATAATCTAGGAGTAGAAGGGAATTTCTTCAACCTGACAAAGCTAACATCCTACTTAATGGTGAAAGACTGAATGCTTTCTACCTCAGATGAGGAATGAGACAAGGATGCCCGCTCTCACCACTTCTATTCAACAACATACTAGAGGTTGTAACCAGGCCAATAAGGCAAGAAAAAGAAGTACAGGATTAGAAAAGAAGAAGTAAAACGATCTCTATTTGCAGATGACATTATCTTATACATAGAAAATTCTAAAGATTCCACTAAAAAAACAAAACAAAACAAAAAAACTAACAGTTCAGCAAGGTTGCGAGATAAAAGATCAATATGCAAAGATCAATTTTATTTCTATATACTTGCAATGAAAAATCCAAAAATGAAATTGAGAAAACAATTCCATTAGCAATAGCATCAAAAAGAATAGAATAGGAATGGATTTCACAGAAGAAGTGCAAAACTTATACTTTGAAACTATAAAATATTGTTGGGAAAAAAGATCTAAATAATTGGGAAAATATCCCATGTTCATGAATCAGAAGACTTAACATTATTAAGAAGGCAATACACCCCAAATTAATCTACAGATTCAATACATTCCCCTATCAAATTCCAGCTTACTTCTTTGCAGAAATTGACAAGATTCTAAATTTTATATGGAATTGTGAGCACCCAGGACAGCCAGAACAATCCCGAAGAAGGAGAACAACATAGGACTCACACGTCTCAATTTCAAAACTTACTACAAAGCAATAATAATCAAGACAGCATGGTATTGGCCCAAGGACAGATATATAGATCAATGAAATAGAATTGAAAATCCATAATTAAACCCACACATCTTTGGTCAACTGATTTTGAACAAGCGTGCCAAGACTAGCAGATCGGGAAAGAATATCTTGTAGACAAATGGTGCTGGGATGACTGCACAGCCACATGCAAAAGAATGAAGCTGGACCCTCACCTCACATCATATAAAAAATTAACTCAAAATGGATCAGAGAACTACATGTAAGAGCTAAAATTATAAAACTCTTAGAAAAAAAACCCATAAATCTTCATAACCTTGGATCTGGCAAAGGATTCTTAGATATGACACCAGACGGCCAAATAACCAGATAAGATAAATAAATTGGAATTCATCAAGATTTAAGACTTGTGCTTCAGGAGGACACAGACAAGAAAATGAAAAGACAACTCACAAAACGGGTGGAAATATTTGCAAATCACATAACTGATAAAGGACTTGTATCTAGAATATATAAAGAACTCTTACAATTAACAGAAAGACTTATAACCCAATTGAAGCATGGGCAAAGGATGTGAATAGACATTCCCCTAAGAAGACATACAAAGATCGATAAAACACATGAAAAGATGCTCAACATCATTAGTTATTAGAGAGAAACAAATCAAAAGCACATTGAGATACCACTTCACACCCGCTAAGATTTCTAGAACCGAAAAATCAGATCAATACAAGCGTTGACAAGGATTTGGAAAAATCAGAACCCTCATACATTGCTGTTGGGAATTTAATGGTGCAGCTGCTTTGGAAAACAGTCTGGCAGTTCCTCAAATGATTAAACATATATATAGTTACAATGTAACCCAGGAACTCGGCTCCTGGGTAGATACCCAAGAGATGTGAAAACGCATGGCCACCCAAAGACTCATACACAGTGTTCACAGCAGCATTGTCCATAATAACCAAAAGGTGGAAACAACTCAAATGTCCATCAACAGATGAATGAGAACAAAACGTGGTATATTCATACGGTGGAATATTAATTAGCCCTAAAAAGAAATGAAATACCGACATATGTTACAACATAGAAGAACCTTGAAAAGATCACACTAAGTGAAGAAACCAGACACAGAAGGATAAATATGACATGATTCCATTATATAAAATGTCCAGAATAAGAAATCTATAGAGACAGTAAAAAGATTCATGGTTTCTTAGGGCCGGGGGATGGGGAGATAGAAGGTGACAGCTAAAGGGTATGGGGTTTCCTTTCAGGGTGATGGTAATATTTTAGAATTGACTTGTAGGGATGGTTGCACATACTTGTAAGTGTACTAAAGCCCACTGCATTGTGTACTTTATTTATTTTTATTTATTTTAAAGATTTTATTTATGGGGCGCCTGGGTGGCTCAAGTCGTTGAGCGTCTGCCTTCGGCTCAGGTCATGATCCCGGGGTCCTGGGATCGAGCCCCGCGTCGGGCTCCCCGCTCGGCGGGAGGCCTGCTTCTCCCTCTCCCCTCCCCCTGCTTGTGTTCCCTCTCTGGCTGTATCTCTCTCTGTCAAATAAATAAAATAAATAAAATCTTTAAAAATAAATAAATAAATAAAGATTTTATTTATTTGTGCATCCTGTACTTTAAATGGGTGAATTATATGGCATGTGAGTTACGTCTCAACAAAGCTGTTGAAAAAGAAAAAAAGGACTCTAAGTCAAGGTCTTTGGACAGAAGGGCGAAGAGCAGGCTCACAGGAGCAGGGAGGCAAAGTGCAGGGCTTCCCACCAGAGCCTGGCAGCCTCGAATCTGGGGACATGACCCCTAGGAATGTGCTGCAGACCTGCCCCGGAGAGCCCCCCACCACAGACACAGTATGCACTCCACACTGTCCGTGTGCCCAACATGTGTGTTAGGTGCAGGAACAAAAGCCCCACTTTTGAGGAGCCCACAGCCAGTGGGGTACGCTCAGGTGTGTGCCAGATGTTTGGGGTGGGCCCACAGACACAAGCTTGCTGGATCTCTCTGCAGTCAAGGGCGTGATCCAATGCACTGCAGGGAGCGGGCGGGGGGGGGCAGTCCCTCAGGATACACACTCAGAGAGGGAGGTGCCTCTGAACACTCCACTCAGCTCCTGAAATGGCCCAGGCAGCCCCCCCCCCGCCCCAGGGCACTGTGGGCGCCACCTAAGGAGTTACAGTTCTGGGGCCTTTCTGGAGCCAGTTCCTGGACCCAGGCATGGAAGGACGCAGTTCCCACTGTCCTTGCTGGCCAGTCCTGAGGAAAACAGCTAGAAAAGCGTTTTCCTTCCAAGCCCAATGAGCCTCCTCACACCCACAGACTTCCCGCCCTGCCTGGGATCTGCAGAAAACTGAACGGCCTCTCCTGCTGGCTCACACCAGGGGCGGATGTGTGCTCAAAAGCTGACAAATTATTTTAATATATCCTGAAATCTAACTTAATTAGAGAGCAAAGTCCCCAAGGGAGGAAAATATAGTGGGGTCTGAAGTCCAGATGGATGGGTTTTGGATTATGACTATGTCTGAGCGGACTGCAGTTTCAGGAATGACTAATTCCACCGCGGTCCCCAGGTCTTCGGGCAGATGCTTACTGAATACTTTCACGCAGACATTTCCCACAACAGCCACTTGGGAGAGGCATTTTCCTCCACTGCTCAGTTCAAGAACCGAGAGGGGCTGTGTGCCCTCCAGAGGGTAAGACCACCCAGGCCGCAAGTCTCACAGAGGGGAGCAGGGCTGGAAAAGATGCCCAGTGGAACAATGAAGGAAACCCTGAGCATTAAACAGCCATGCACGTGGCCCGGCACCAGCTCCCTGGTCACCTGGACCACCGCGTGGTGGCCGATGGCACCCCCGACTTCCAGTGTTTGATGGTATCCCCCATGGCCGTTCCAGGAGTTCGCGATCTTGTCACAAAACCAAAGGAGTCCACCTTGGACCGCTCCGAAAACCTGTTCCGAGTGTTTACCAAAGATGACCACACACCCCCATACACTAGGAACTCAACTTCTTGCTTTGTTCCCAACAGCAAGATTGGCACGTGTCCACCGAAAAGCAGGATTCGTAATGGCCCCCGCTGGAAAGTCCCCAAGTCCATCTGCAACAGACTGGTGAATGAACTGCGGTGTGTTCATACGACAGAGGACCACAAGCCATCAGAATGAACCTCAGTGACACAACACAGATGAGTCTCCAGACAGAGCACTGCGTGAGGCGGCCAAACACAAAATACTTCATGCTGGAGGATTCCATTTACAAAAGGAATAAAAGCAGGCGCAGCGAACGCGTGGTGATGGAAATCAGGACCGGCCACGCTCGGTGGGGAAACGATTAGAAAGTCGTGATGGGGCTTCTGGGTGCAGGTTACACGTCTTCTCTTGTGAAAATACGCACTTTAAGGCACACCAGTTAAACTTCAGTGAAAAGCCAAGCAGAAAGCGAAGCACCCACGGTCATCCCGGCATCCGTCCCTGGCCCACCCTGGGCAGGGCTGGCGGCTTCCCAGCACTCCCCTACCTGACTGAGGCCAGAGCCCAGGGGTGTCTTCCGCTGGGAAGAGAGCAGGCCAGTTCAGTCCTGACCTCCCCAAGGCTGGCTAACCTCTCCGCACCCCAACTTCCTCACCTGAGCATGGCTGTCACATCTGTCGGGGGAGGCTCCCAGGGATGTGAATTTTCAGGAAGTAAGGGCCCTGTGTAACCAGCACCCAGCCTGCAAGCCCCGCATCAGTCATCCGCTTGCTAGACCGAAATTTATGAGGAGCTACTCTGCGCCAGGCACTGGGGATTCCTGGGTATTGTCAAGCACTCTGCCTGCAAAGGGCTGACTTTCCAGTAACAAGACATAAATGGGGGGGGGGGCAAGAAAAATGGGTGAAAGGGGCCAAAAGGTAAAAAAAAAAAATTAACACACACAGATTGCACTTGAATACCCATAAAGTACTGCCATGATGGTCATGGGTGGGGGGAAGGGAAATTGCTCAGACTACCACCTCGGATTGCAAGCGAAGTATCTCCCCTCTTTACAATAAATAATAATTTATGCCACCGGTCAGTGAGCACCAGCAATAAGGAGTGTCTCAGAACCAAGGCTCAGAGGCGAGGGGTTGTGCGTGATCATTTGCAAAGACAGAGATTCTCAGAGATCTGGAAGGAAAAGGAGGACCCGCAAAGCGAAGGGCTGGGGTAGTTCTCGGGGGCGCTCCTGCCAGGGCAAACTCCCAGGGTCACATTTCCAACCTAGGGGAGTTCAGCAGCCAGACACGCTCTTTCTTCTAAGAGCCTCTGTCTTCCTTTACCCCCACCAATGACAGGTCTCTCTCCAGTTTGTCCAGCGCAACAGGGGAACTGGTCAACACCCCCCCACTCCTCCTGTCTCCACCCAGACCTTTAGCGCATGTTCTAAGACTTGCCCCCCCCCACTCCCCCACCGCCAGCCCCACTAGCACAACAGAAAAAGGAACCAGGAAAATGGCATTTGGATGGTGTGCCCCCCGCCCCCTTGCATCCATTTCCTCTTATAATAATTCTCAGTGTCTCTTAAGGGTCCACACCACCCGCATTCCCAACTCACCGGACCCAAAGGGGGCTCCCTCACTTTCCCCCCCAAAGACGGGGCTCTCTCCCATTGTGCTCTGTCCTGACACCACGAATGACTGGACATCCTGCCCCATCAGCCACAGCAGGTGGGCTTGCAGATAGCACACGGGCTCGGAGAACAAGGGGAGCACAGCGGTGGAGGTCCCTGAGTCGGCAGTGTCCCCACCCAGTCCACCCTGGACTCCTCAGTGTTGTGAAATATTAAATTCCCTTGTTTGCTTTAACCAACTTGAGACCGTTTTTTCCATCGCTTTCAAAAGAGTCCGAACTGATGCAAGATGCCTTATATTCTTCAGAAGGTAAATACGACTGCATCTCATCTTCCTCCAGGCTTCACTGTTCTGCTGAAGGACCTTTAAGTGTTGACACGTCTTCATCTTCCTGCTCTCATTTACAAAAAAATACTCCCAAAAATGTCTTCCAAGGAAAATTAGTTTGGGGTGTTGCGCCTCACAGGATGTAAAAGGTAAGAGATGCTCCACGGTCATGTAAATGTGCAAATTACTTCCTGTCACAAAGTTAAATTGGTTTCTTTATTGCAGGACTTCTCAAACCCTTTTTTTTTTTTTAAAGATTTTATTTATTTATTTGAGACAGAGAGAATGAGAGAGAGAGAGCACATGAGAGGGGGGAGGGTCAGAGGGAGAAGCAGGCTCCCCGCTGAGCAGGGAGCCCGATGCGGGACTCGATTCAGGGACTCCAGGATCATGACCTGAGCCGAAGGCAGTCGCTCAACCAACTGAGCCACCCAGGCGCCCCTTCTCAGACCCTTTAATGTATGACTGGTTTGTTTGTTTTTAAAGATTTTATTTATTTATTTGTCAGAGAGAGAGAGAGAACACAAGCAGGGGGGAATAGCAGGCAGGAAGAAGCAGTCTCCCTGCTGAGCAAGGAGCCCCGACTCGGGACTCGATCCCAAGACCCTGGGATCATGACCCGAGCCGAAGGCAGACGCTTAACCGACTGAGCCACCCAGGTGTCCCTGACCAGTTTATTTTACTTCAATCTTTGTGACTAAGATTTATGTGCTCAATTTTTAAGGGGGTGTAACGGCATGCCTGACTCCCTGCCGTGTGTTTGGCTGTGGAAATCTTATTTTCATGGAGTAACTATAGGACAAAATGACATGAAATACATTTCAGAAAATGGATCCAGCTGGAATTCCAGATTTTTTCTATTCCAAACTGCTTAGCCTTTAGGGATCTTTTGATTTTCCCACCTGAGCCTTTTGGTTAAAAAAAAAAAAAAAAAAATTTTTTTTTTTTTGTTTTTTTTAATTTTAAGCACAGTTGTGGCAGAAGAATTTTGAAAACCAGAGAGTGCTACTAAAATACCAGGCACTGGGGAAGGGATTCTAAGAGTCCCTGGACTGAGGGGCAGCAAGGAATTGAGGTCTCTTCACAAGCTGCCATTTTCTTGAGCCATAAAATTCAACTTTGTTGACTCTCAACTCTCCAGGAAAGAAAGGAAAATGGCTCAATGCCCACTAATGGGATTCTTGGAACCTCCTGCGTCCCGGCCACTGCCGCCCCCACCCCCACGGCTCCCCGAGGCCACCGACCCCTGGACCAGAGGCCAGAGAAAGGCCACTCTGGTGTTCTTCTTGGGCCGTGTCAGAGGAAGAAAAAGCGAGCGTTTGCCAACATCACAACAATGAGGCGGCCGCAGGGGAGACATGAGTGGGGCCCCGGGAGGTGGAGAGCAAGAAACCCAAACCTGATCCACGGTTTCTATTTGGGGGCCCGTTCTGCCCACAGACACGTCGCTGTTTGTTGTGTATCCACCAGAGAACAAGCCTCGCGCATCTCAAGGCCTGGACTGCAGGGACCTGGGCCAGCAGCCGGGTGTCCCTCCACCCTGCAGGGCCACCTCGTGTGCCCTGTACATGGACCTCCGTCTGTGATTTCACTTGGAGGGAAAAGGTTCAGCTGCAAAGAAGAAGAAGAGAGAAGCCGCGTGTGTGGTCCAGCCCCTTCATTCTGCACTTGAGCAAGAAGGGTCTCGCCTGAGAGCACAGAGCCAGGGACGAGCGGGGCCAAACTCCGGGAGGGACGCAGGCACTTGGGTTTGCTGGGCACATGCAGATTCCAGGTGCCCCGTGGGCCGGGCCACAGGCCTCTCCCTTAAACGTCATGAGAGTTTTGTCAATCATGATGTCGGAGGAGAGCAAAGGTTTGGGCCAGGCCGTCAAGACCGCCCTCTCCCATGAAAGCACGTGGTGCAGGAGAGACAGGAATTCCACAGGGGGCGAATGGCAGCCACGGGTCCACGTGCATGAGCCCAGCCGGGGCGGGCACAGCAGTCAGTCCCACTTCAGGCACGAGGCCACTGAGGCCCAGACAAGTTCAGGGTCTTGCCTGGAGCCACAGGGCCAGGAAGAGGAGGGGAGCGTGGGCTCCGGACTCCAGCTCAGGGAAGCGGGCTGAGGCAATGCCACGGCCAGAGGAGGTTACCTGTTGTCCGACCGGTGTTGCCCACTCAAGGCAGCTGCTCCTTCCAGGAGGAGTCTAGTCCCAGACTTGAGGTGGGAGCTGCCTCTGGCCAGTCGGCCTGCCACTCTGCCAGGCAGTCCTCCACGCACTCACCCAGTGGCCACGCGGGCGCAGAGAGCTCACAGCCCCCGTGCGTGGCTCATACCCCTTGTTGCAGGTGCTGTGCACTGAGGGGAAGAGGGCATGTCATTCTAAGCTGGATCCCCCAAGGAAGGTGTCACCAGGTGACAGGGGGCCAAGCCTTGCAGCATGGCTACGCCCTGGCTCTCCGCTCTCTAGACGCAGGCCCCGCTGGGGAGAGGGGGCGTGAGGGGCACCCTTTCTGCGCCTGCCATCCCAAAGACCCCTCCTCTCCTAACCACGGTGGTGGCCAGGTGGCAGGGGACAGGAGACCTACTCCCTGATAGGCTGCCCCTGGACCCGCCTGGATGCCTCTGGGACAGCAGGGAGTGCTGGAGTGTAGGGGTACCAAGCACCCCTTCCCATGCCCGGGGCCCAAAGAGTATCAGATTTGGACTCTGATGTGCTGCCGTGTGGCCCTAGGCAAGTCACCTCTCCTTCTGGGGCTGCTTCCTGCTCTTGAGTGCCCGGAAGTAGCTTCGAGGACCACGGGAAGCAATGAGTCACAGGGATGCTCTTCCAGCCCCGATGCCTAACCCTGGAGTCTAAATGCAGCACTTAAAGCTCTACCTCAGGACCTCTGGGCACATGAGGTCACCACCACCCACTACAGATGAGGAAACCAAGGCTCAGAAACAGGAAGCCACTTTTTCAAGGCCACACAGCCAAGCAGTACTGCACCCCCTGAGACTAGCTGGCCTGTAGGCCATGCTTCCCCCACTGGCCACAGGGACGCCAGAGACCCAACTCTGCCCTCAGGATCGACAAAGGAGCGAGGAAAGAGGCACAGTGAAGTATGTAAGTGTAATTAAGCAGTGAAAGCAGAAGGCAGTGCAAAGGGGAGGCCTGAGGTGGGGTCTGTGCAGAGACGGGAAGGATGGGTGGACAGAGGGGCTCTGGGCGAGGCTACCCACAGAGCGGGCCCCTCAGGCCAGGCTCCAGGTGCCGGCCTCTCAACCCCACTGAAGCCCCTGGTGGTCCCATGCCCCCTCCAACCCCGGTGGTTCAGCACTGGAGGCCCTGGTCCCGCCAAGTGTGGCAGGTTAAAGATGCCAACAATTCTGAGACTCCCTCCCATGAAGCCTCCCTGCTCCCCACCGTCCCCAGGGCCCTGAGGGTCTGTGAGGCCTGCCCGTAACCCATCTGCTGGGGCTCCCCACCCCTCTGGATGGAAGGCTCAGAGGGCAGGGTCTTGCTCCCACGTCGCCCAGCAACCCCCCTGCATGTCGCTTGGGGCGTGGGGGGCTCTCGATCAACATTTAACGAATGACTCAGGGAGCTGGCAGCTCAGAGAAGAGATGTGAGGTGGAGCCGGAGAGGAACGACAGAGCCGGACCATGGAGGGTTTGCAACACTGGGCTTCACGTCGATTTTGGCAACAGGGTGCCATGGTGGGCTCTCGGGCGTGGGCTTGGAGGAAGGTGGGCTTGGCGGGCTGGACAGGAAGGCTGGTGTCGGGGGCCGGGCGGGTAAGCAACCTGGGCGCAGGCACTGGTGCAAACGGGACATTTTCAAGGGCGACTGTGAGCACACACAGCTTGGACTCTTAAAGACCCCCAGGCCAGCTAGTACTTGGGGGGGTGGGGGGGTGTGCACGCTTCCCGAAGCAGGCGACCAGCAGAGAAAGCACAATTACCCCCACAGACAGAAAGGAAAGCGCCCAGAGGGGGGCAGATCTGGCTCCCCTGAAATGCAGCCTGCAACCAAGGGCCGGGAAACAGGCGCCCAGGGCTGTGGGGATTAAGGCCAATTTTCCTGCTACTTAGCCGGCGCAGCGTGCCGAGCTCGGCCACCGTATCTATGATGAAGGAATAAGTCATCTGAAAACACAAATAAATTATTCGCTCCCCGCAAATGAGCAGCCCCTCGGTTCCTGCAACAGCCACTACACCACAAACACCCCAAAGGCTCAGCGAATCCTATTAGTGACACTGCTCTGCGGAACAGACACCGGATTCCGCCATCAGCCCATGTAGACAGCTCTCGCCTGAGACCTGCCCACACGGCTTTCCATTCTGCAGCCACGAGTGACATCAGCCCAGCATCAAATGGAAAATCACAGCCCAGCCCGGCCTGGCTTGGGAGACGTGGGCTTCTGTGCAGAGCACGTCTGCACTGAAGGACTGGTCTTCTACCCACCGCCTCCTGACACTGACCGCTCCCCCCTGGGGCCAAGTCACCATCCGGGCCAGGGACACAGCTAGCATGTGTATTTCTGGGCCCGGACACCTCTAGGGTTCAGCCCGGGGGTGGGGGGACACTGCATTTCCCAGCTGGGGCCACCAGGAGGAAGCCCCTGGATCAATCACAGCACAGCTAGCCTCGCACCGCTGGGCAGTCCTGGGTCAGGTTCTCGCCTCCTGGTGCCCCAGGTGCCCTGACGGGTTTTGGGGGGATGGCATGAAAGAACATTTGCAAAGCACTTTCATGCACTGGTGCTCAGCGGAGGTCACTCACAGCTGGGTCTTTGCATAGGCTCACACCTCCAATTTTAGATCTTTGATTCCTGTCTGCTCAGCTCGGGTCACAGTTGGGAAGGAGAGCCTGGGAGGTTTTTCTGAGTGCTTGCCTAGAACACCCCCCTGAGTGCCCAGAGAACCCCGCCCTCCCTTCAGACCCCAGCTCTCGGCCCCTCCTACTGGGAGGTCCCCAAACTCCAGGTGGGCGCTCGCTTCTACAGCACTACGCTTTGCTGGGATTTGCTCACCTGCATCCAGAGCCCCACAAGCAAAGGGACAGTAGAGGGACTGAGGTCTTACCCCTGGGGCCCAGCACACCGCCGGGCCCAGAGCCGCAGGGTCAGCGTGGGCAATGAAAACTAACCACCTTCTCTTTGCAGAGTTAGTTGTCCCATGTGATGTGAGCAGAGGGGCTTCGTCCCTCTGTCCCTGCCCCTCCATGACAGGTCTGCGCAAGAACAACCCTTGTTGTGAGAGGTTTCCAGCCCCTCCCCGGCTCCTTGGGGGAAGAAGTGGCTTTCTAACCGGACTGAAGAAATGAATGACCTTCCAGCCTGGGGGCCCCCACCTCCTCCACGCTGCCCCCCCAGGGCGGAGATCAGGAGCTGCTCCGCTGTCTGTGTATGAAAGGGAAATTTCTGGGGCGCCTGGGTGGCTCAGTCGTTAAGCGTCTGCCTCCGGCTCAGGTCATGATCCCAGGGTCCTGGGATCGAGTCCCACATCGGGTTCCCTCCTCGGCGGGAAGCCTGCTCTCCCTCTCCCACTCCCACTGCTTGTGTTCCTGCTCTCGCTATCTCTGTCTCTGTCAAATAAATAAATAAAATCTTTAAAAAAAAAAAAAAAAAAGAAAGGGAAATTTCTTTTAAGAGTAAGGGCAAGTAACAGGAAGCTGACTCTGGCCAGAGAGCAAGCTTGCCCATTTGCAACTACCTGCAAAAAGGAGCTCATGTGTATGTGTGCACGTTCACACACACACACACACACGCGCGCGCATGCGCACGCACAATTTAGTGGTTCTCAACTGTGGGTGATTTTGCCCCCCTGGAGCTTTTGGAAGTGTCTGCAGACATTTTTGGTTATTACCACTGGGGCATGGGGTCACCCCTGGCATCTAGTAGGCGGAGGCCAAGGATGCCCCTGAACCTCCTCCAGGGAACCGGAGCCCTCCCCAGCCCAACAAAGAATGATGCAGCCAGACCCTCAGCAGCGCAGAGGGCGAGAGCCCCTGACGCAGATACATTCCCGGGTCTTTGTTTGCCCCTCATCTGGTGACAAACCTTCCCTGACGGACGCGCGCCCCTCCTTCCCAAATAAAGGACCAATGGTCCTGCAGGACGCAGAGCCACCC